TCGTTCTTAGTATATTACGGGGAGAAGTTACATCAAACAGGAATAAAGTGGAGCTGTACTGCGTAGGGACTGGTACAGGCACAACAGGTAACCTTATGAGTACAAAGTCAATTATTGCGTAGATTTCGCGTGGGCGAGAAAAAAAAAGAAAAGTAAAGATGATTGGTAAATACTGAGATATCGCCATTTAAATAAAGCATTTATTGTCGTTATAAGACTTTAAATGCATAATAATGCAGGTGTTTCTTAGTGTTGCGAAAACTGACATTTGGCGCATGTATTGTAGTGTAGGTATAGTTCTGGGTCTTTCTTGTATTTTTACTTCTTTTGGTGATCGCATCATCTGCAATACCAAACCGGCAAATATAGCATCGATATTCATGCTACGACATTTCAATGAACTGACCTGCTTGCCGAGAACTTGGGCCAGCTCATATGAACATAACGAGAATTTTATGAAGAAACCGCAAGGCATGAGCCGAGCCAGTCAGGTAAAGCGGTCCAGCCCAGCTGACCGGATTGGCTTATTTTTCGTTGCACGTACCGCCCGGTAGCTCGTTACTGCGGGGTTTTATCCAGGATGGTCAGTTGTTTTGATGGTCTGAGGTCAATTTTTCATAATATCTTTACTTTGCAGCTATCCTGCATGGCAAGCCCAGTTCATCAGTCATCATATCTCAGGATGGAAAACCTATACTGATGGCTGACGTAGGAGCTGGAGTTCTCAAACCCTGCAGAGAGAAACTGGGTACAAGTGACAGAGTAGAGTTTATTTAATCCTGCATGTGATGTATTACCACCGACCAACAGAGGATAGTTATCCTCACTTATCCAGACCTAATCCATTAGGCACATGATGTGAGAGTGCAGGCAAACCTTTGATATTTCAGACTGCTGCTCTCCCTTATTTAAACTATTGAAACAGCACCTTATGAAAGATTAAGCCACCGAGCAGTGGGTTTAAAAAAAGGCGTACCGGAGGCTTTGGGGCGACCGTCAAAATGTGTGGGTGTCGGATCAAACAGTGTTAAATGCTATGAAAATGAATTTAAAGCTCAAGTTTGCATTAGGGTGACTTGTATCTGACATCTAAACTCTCTTAACGGTGGGTGATTCTCTTTTCATTCCCTCATTGAATTATCGAGGTGTTGGAAAACCTGACTTGACTCTGATCAGTGAAATGAGCGCTGAAAAAAAATAAAAGTGCCTTACATGGGACATTTAACATTTGGCTAGCTGTTAACACATTTCGTTTTCAAGTCGCAGCTGAAAACAAATTTCCTAGAAATGTGTTCATCTCTCACAATCACATGGATCATTCTGGGGAGCTGCCAATGCTGTTTGCAGTGGAAAGTAAAAGGAGACACGCAGCATGTGAACCACGCCTAAAGGTGCTGTGTGGTCCAGAGGTTGAACACAAACTGAAGGTACACAGACTTGATGAGATGTTGACAATGTATCGACCGGTAAGTATGGCATGACTATACATCTCAAAAGATTACTCATTTGGAACCCATGTAAATGTAACAAAACTTAGGAATCGCCAGTGCAAGGTGATACTGCTGACCATGTTGGGCGCATAACAGGCGCTTTATGAGCCACGCGAGGCGAATGCAGCAATTCGCGCGAAGCGTGAGGAGAGACGAGGAGAAAACATAATTAAAAGCTTTATTTTTCTCCTCCACTCGCCTAACGCTTCGCGCGAATTGCCGTGCTCGCCTCGCTTGGCTCATAAAGCGCCCGTTATGCAGAATATGATTATAGTATTTTCAAAATCTCAAGGCGCATTTGATGTTCAGATTGTTATCTCTGTGTGTGATTGACAGAAATGTTAGTGACACAAGTGTGCTAAACAGCAATTGCATTGAATTTTAAATTGCTTTCATAGGAGCAGGTAGCTGATTGGGTAGTCTGCAAACAGGATGGAGATCCAACGTACCTTGACGAAGACAGAGATTTCTTCATCACAGTTTACCGAACTCTTCATGGTGAAGTGTGCTATGGTAAGAGAAAGATTGATTGGCTCCCCAGGAAAGAGGGCAAGATGGGCCCGGCCATCTTGCGCGCTCGGGATCGCCTTCTCTGTCTCTCAGTAAAAAATCTTATTACGATGCCTAAATATTGGCCTGGTATATTTCAACGACTACTTTGGTTCAGTGCATAAAACGCAAGAAAAAATACTTCGCTAATATGCAGCAATTGCAGCCTGATCGATACATATGTAATTATAACCACTCTGTCGGTGCTTCTCTTTTTCAGGGTTTTTGCTGTACTTCAAGAACAAGCCCATCCTGGGATATTGCGTTGATTCTGGTTTCCAAGAAGACGTGTACAAGTTTTTCTTTCAGGCGTCCACTGTGGTTGTGGATGCGAGGAAGGAGGGCTCCCAGGAGCACGCCTCAGTATGAAGAATTATTTTTTTTTTGGACAAAGACAGTGATGAAAAAAAGGAGGAAAAGAAGAAGTCTCTTCACTGTCTCAGTTAATAGATAATAACTCTAGTGAACGCAAACTGGTGACCTGCACATTGCATTTACTTTCTTGCTGAACAGTAATGGCGCATGCCGTGTCGCGCGATCTGTAGCCAGCTGCAATGTCCATGATATCTAACGTCTCGAATGCACCGAGGTAGTGCCTGCCGTAGCTTGAAAAAAACCTCTAGTACCCATCAAAAGCCTGCAAATGGTGCGTTGTCTAAGCTGGCTCTTATTTTCGGACCGTCGTAACAACTGGGCTTAACTTATAATCTATGGTTTCTTGAGTTGCTCTTCTCTATACATTAAAGGATGATGTCATCTTTCTTTTTTTGATATTTTAGTTCACAGAAGTTGCAGAATATGTAAAGAAAGAGCAGGTTAGTGTACGCCATGTTTCTCCTTCCTCCTTGTTTTGCGGGTGTGTGGGGGCAGGGGGTGGGTTCGTGTTAGGGGAATATCTAAATGTCATATTCTCGATCATAGATTATATATATTTTTTCCACAAAAGTTACTACAAAAGTAATAAGGGGATGCAAAACTCAATTTCACTCGGTTATTTGCCTAGGACTGTGTGACTGAGGGTGTTTATCTGATGGACATAAAAACAGTTTTCAACTGTCGTGGTTGGGTTATTCTAACAGATGTACTGACAAACTTAGAAACCCATGAACCACTGAAATATTGCGTAGTGACCAATTTAAACAAAGATCAGGACGCAAGCTAACACTCACGCATTACAACACAGTAACATTACAGAAGTACTTCTGGGTGTCCACGGTGTTCCTTATAAATCAGTTGTATCTCTGTGGCATGAGTGCGACGTGAGAAATGATGACGATGCTTCCTGTAATGAATATTAATGGCCTCGTTTTTACTTTCTAGTTTGGTAATAAAAGCGTGTACATCACAGGCTACGGTATTGACAGCGAGTACCCGGATGAAGGAGTGCCTGGTGTGCAGCAGCTGCGAGCTGATCAATACGTCACACTCTGGGATGAACACACTGATGGATTATAATCAGTCCACTCAATGACGACGTTTAAATGGGCCACTTTCAATTTATTCCTTACGAAATCTTTACATTGTATTCTAAGTGTCCTGTGAGGGCAGTATTGATGGAAAACGTCCAGCTTCCTCATAACTTGTTCTGTGGCCTTCCACAAAACTACTGAACAGTAAACGGCAAATGAAGGAAAACCCTGGTCTCATTTTTTCTATAAATGCCATTCAATAAAGGTTGATTATGATTTTACTCCTGTATGATTTACTTATCAATAAATAGATTCTGAACAAAAGTCGAATCGGACTGAGATCGCGTTCGATTTTGTTTGATTGGTTCGATAATGGAACTCACAGCAAAATAGATGTTCGATTATGTTCGATTACACCCAATGCAACGATTGGGGTTCGATTGAAATTTGGTTCGATTTTGTTCGTTTAGATACGCCGGGATAATTTAAGATATCTGTTTATCGTCACCTTCATAATAGGATGCTGTGGAATTACCTCTTTGCCGGGATAAGAGCCATATCTATTGAAACGGAAAACTGGAGCGTGAAACGACAGAACCGCGAGAGTTTAAAAAAATATTAAGGTGGACAAAACAACAACTTTGCGATCCGTTGTTCAGTTCCAGTAGTCCAGGTATTCCTCTCTTTCTCTAACTTCCTGTTTTGGTCAGCTTTCATCGGTTGCCAAAGGAAAGCGAAAGAGGGAAAATTCCCTTTCAAGCACAGTGCGAAGGTTGGAGGAATGGCGTCACCTTCAGATGCGAATGAGGTGAGGAAAGTGATAGATTTACTTTTTCTCTGTATAAAGCAATTAATTGATCTAGTGTTAAAGCCTCTGAAGCCTGTCGCTGTAAAGAAAGATATCATATCATAATCAAATGGCAGCACACTGACAAAATGCATTAACAAAGAAAGGAGAGTGCGTTATCTTAAAATTCGCTCCTAAACAGCTCTTGTTCTAACCAAAAGGGTCTAAAAGAATTTTAGAGGACCTTGGGGTGATCAAGCATCGAAGCGAAACACAAACACTGTGTCAAACGAGTTTAGTGATCAGTATAATATCAACAAATTACATTGTAAGCATGCCGTTTGGAAAATGCAAACATGTCCACCTCGCAAAATTGCAAAGTTGGTCAAAAGTTTTTTTAAAAAGACAAAAACACAAACGTTTCGGGTTTATGACCCTTCAGTGTGAGAAAAAACCCGACTACGCAAAACCAATAGACATAAAAATGATCGAAGCACGTGCGCGTGTAATAGCTCTGGCAAGATGTATATAATCATGTTTATAGGGAACGCACGAGATAAAAACTTACTTGTTCTGTCCTTGAATCTGCTGCGAAGCAAAGTGAAATGGAGGTTGTTTCTACGATGCAAAAACGATGTTTGTGTCGGCGCTTTGCCCGTTAATTTCACAATGCTTTATTTTGTGTGGTTTGTTTTGATTAATTAATGGTACTGTATTCTAATTAGCGCGCGAGGCCCGCGCGAGAGAAGGAGAGAGAGAAAAGAG